CTAACCCAGAAATAGTGCTTCAGGTTAAGAACTTTGCTTCAGGATGAGAACAGAAATCGGGCTTCGGTGGCGCGGCAGCAGCAGGACGCCCATTAGCTAAAGTGGTGCTTCAGGTTAAGAACAGTATCAGGTTAAGTACAGACCTCCGGAACGAATTAAGTACTTAACCCGAGGTACCACTGTATATGGATATTCCAAGGGAGGGTATTATAGAGGTATAGGGCCACCACTGAAAAGGGGGCCAAGAACAACTGCCACAGGTTAACTATGCCTACTAGCGACAATGACTATGTTTTATGGTTGGAGGAAGTATGCCTCTGAATAACCCTTGCTGGGAATACCAAGTGGGGAAAGAGCTATTACACCGAGGTCCTGCTTTCAGAATTCCAGTGGGCATTTGGTTGGCAACAGAGTGAATAGGATGATGGATTAGGTCCAGCCTGGCCTGGTCCAGCAGACTTTTCTTTTGTTCTTGTGATCATTCAACAACTGTGGCTTAACCAGAATTTTGCAGTTCTCAGAAATGGAGACCTACCTTTACCATAAAAGCTTTTTTAAAAATATATTAACTTCAGAAATTCTTTTTTTTTTTCCTTAAAAGAATCAAAGGTTAAGAATAGGTCACCCCCTGCTTTCAGATACAACCCACCGTTCAGTCTGTGGGCATGACTCTCAATGAGTGAGGCAGACAAATATGTAAGGAACAAGCTAACTTCCCTTCTTGATCATTTAGGACAGAGGTTACTTCTTGTCAAGAAGCTTTTAAAGGTGGGTGGGCTGTAGTTCAGCAGCTGAGTATGTACTTTGACTGTATAGGAAGCCAGATTCACTAGCCAGTACATATAGTTTAAAAGATCTCTGGTAGAGGAGCTAGAAAATTCCCCTGGATTGTTGCTGCAAGCCAGAACAGACCATAGGTGGACCAATGGCTTGAATATATGTCTGTGCCTTGTCACATAATCTGCTCTGGCCAATTGATGCTCAAGAGATTTTTTGTGGAGAGGCCAAACTTGATACCTTGTAGCTCCCATTTTTGGCCAGAGCATGGCAAGGATTCTGGATCCCTGCCAGACATCCTCCCAAGGTCATGACCTGTAGTAAGCTTGACCCTTTGTCCTACAAGAATAATGCTTATGCCTAAAGCATTCCTGGACAGGTCTGCTGAAACTCTTCTGGATCCTGCAAGTAAAGAGGCTCTTCTCTCTGGGCGTCTTGTTTTATTTTTGAATTGCTGTAAGGATTTCCCTCCACCCACCTTAACTACCTCCTTGAGGAGTTATTGCAGCTTTTAGAGGGTGATAAATTAGATACAGCCCTTTAAAGCCTACAACTGGCAGTGGAATTTTTCTTTCCTCTCCTAAAGTTGAAAATCATCTGCCTTCAGATTTCCAGTCTTTTGGCAACGGGCTGTGGTAAATTAATATGCTGAGTCAACAAGCCATCTTCCAATTCTGGTTGCTCTGCACTTGGGAAAATGCTGATGTGTGTGTGTGGTCTTGCATGCATGCATGCGCGCGCGCACACACACACACACACACACACAGACACAAACTGCTTTGTGACAGATCTGGCTGGCTTTCTCCACTAATGAAAGTCATTGTTTTGGATCCAATGGTTTAGAAATTCTTTCACCAAGGACAATCTGTCCCCATTAGATAGACATAACTTGCTTAGGCTGCCTGCCTGCCTGCCAGGCTATTACTTTTCCATTGTTATCTGACTACAGCCATCAACTGTATAGACACTGGAGTGATAAAAATGTGTCCAGCTGACACACAAGCTGATATCCAGCTGCCTGCAAGCTCCATAAATCTCTCTCCCCCTCGTTTTTTATAAGCAAAGCTAGCACTCAGATTCCAGGGGCCTTTGGACAAGTATCCTGTTTCTGCCAACCCTGAGTGGTGTGGCTCAAGTTCCTCTTTATTAACAAGTTGGGTTCGGGAGCTGTCCAGCACTGTAAGGGGCAGCTCCTTGGGAAGTTTTCCTGTAGCAGGAAAGGAGCTGTCCAGTCAAGAAGCCACGTTGTACCAGCTGAGCTGGGAATTCAAGCTGAGTTTCTCCACCCGACATCCAACATTTTCTCACTAGAAAACACTAGCAATTCCTATAGACTTGGGGGAGTGCACGTGTCAATAAAACTTCTGCCGAGATTGCCATCAACTCCCGTATGTTGTCACAGCCATATTCTGCGAAGAGCCATAATGTTTCTACATGCAGAGTCATAGAAAAATAGGGTTGGCAAGGGTCCAGAAGCCCATCTGCTTGGTGCCAGTAATTCAGAGCTACAGCATCCCACAACAGATGGCTGTCCAGCCTCTACTTGAAAACCTCTGTTGTGGGAGAGTGAACACACACAGTAACTGGTTCCATTGCTGAACTGCTTGGACAGTTCCAAGCTTAGTCAGTATCATAGATAAGCTAGCTCTCTGGACTAGCTCCAGAAGGTGGGTCCCACTCAGCCATGAAGCTCACTGGATGACCTTGGGGAGGTCACCATCTCTCAGATTAACCTACTTCATGGGGTTGCCATGAAGATGGAAGAAAATGGAAGAGGGGTGGAGTAAAAAGTTAGTTTCAAAAATAGGAGGTAGATTTTTCAGGACTGTGTTTATAACTTGAATCTGTGGCAGGTAAGAAACTGCATAAAATGTGACCTTGGGCACATAATTCAGTTACCCAAGAGCACCATATTTCAGTTTGCTTTAAATAAAGTTTAAAATAAAGGCATACAGGTAGGTGGTGGGTTCAATGCTTCATCTCAGAAGCCAAAAGACTTGTTGAATATGGTATCTGGGGGTTGGGGAAGGGGCTTAGTGTTCTTAAAAAAGATTATTTTCCCTGCCAGTGAATAACAGTAGAATATGCTATTCATTCAGATTAGCTTTGAGCATGCCACTACCTCAGGTGTGTATCCTTCATAAGAGAAGAAAAGCTATAGTCTTCCACCTTCTACCTGGTCCCCTCTCTCAGAGCAAAGCAGTTGGCTGGCTGGCTGCCTCCCTCTCTTACATTTGCACAACTAGCTGGGCAGGTGAAACAGAGATTCTGTAACCTGAAAGGAATCTAGATCTTGTAGGAGAGCTAGCTGAATCACCATAACTGAATGAAGAAATCTGAAGCTTGCATCAGAAGCTGGGAAGTGGGATGACAGTTGCATGGTCCAGAATCTAGGAGGGAACATGGGCATTTTCTCATTTCACATGGATCTGTCATGACTCCAGCAATGACTCCAGCATTGAATCCAAGGCTACAGTGTTGCCAGCTAAGGAATGAGCTCCTGGGTCTCACCCTAAGGCTGCCAATCAGAGGGCCACTCAACCTGGTAGGCAGGAGTCTGCTGAACCACATATCATAGTATAGTGGTACCTCTGGTTGTGAACGGGATCCGTTCCAGAGCCCCATTCGCAACCTGAGCAGAATGCAACCTACGTCTGTGTGTCTGCAGGTCGCGACTCGCTGCTTCTGTGCATGCGCGTGACGTCATCTTGAGCATCTGTGCATGCGCGAGCGGCGAAACCCGGAAGTAACCCGTTCCGTTACTTCCAGGTCGCCATGGGACACAACCTGAAAAGATTTAACCTGAAGCAAACGTAACAAGAAGTATGACTGTCTTTCTGGTATGCTGACCATAATAAATTGATGAGACGCTAGTGATAATGATATCTCATACCCCAAGGCCTATAGATATGGAGCCAGGAGCCTCTTGAGCATCTTCTTCTTGGCCCAATGAATCAAGTGCCTTATATGCTACCTTATCACTTCAGTGGTGCAGAGAGCACACCAGGTAAGAAGTCATAGAGCACAGGAGCAATACAATATTCAGACCAGAGAGCTGGCTCTTTAAGAGACACCATTTCTCCCATAAGGGGGTACAGCATGTTGCTTACTAGGAGCTCTCCTTGCTTTTGTAGCACCCAACTTGCATTGCCCTAGGCTGTCCTCAGCAGGATAAGACCAGACCAGACAGCAACAGGACAGAATAGATCAAATTGCAGCTTTCAGTTTTTCGTCTCCTGATTTAGTTTGCCTGGGTACAAATATTTCATGTGCTTTTCTGCAGCACACTTGCCTAAAAGAACAAAGATGGATAATCTTATGCTTGATTGTCCCTAGGAATGTGATACATTCTTTGCCCCCTTTTCCCACCCTCCCTTCTATTACGGTTTCATTACATCTTCCTTCAAGTGCTGCAAGCTTCACTACATAACTGATTTATTTCTTAAAAACAAAATATAGATGATTTCTTCCCCAGCACCGCTTGGCAATATTGTTATTTTCTGTACATCTGGCTTATCATTTGCTTGGCTTGTTATCATAAACAGCTCTAATTCCCATCTAAATCTTTCTCAATCCTCAGCAGCATAATTTGCTAAATTCCACATGCAAGGAGCTTTTTAAATACTCAAGCTGCTTAGAATTCTTTATATTGTTCTTTAATCTCTTCAGCATACTTTTCACTCCTGATATCATGCTCTAAAACTCTGGTTCCATGCTGGCATATCAATACAGGGGTGGGGGACCTGTGGCCCTCCAGACATCTTTGGACTACAACTCCCATTATCTCTTGCCATTGGTTATGCTCTCTGGGATTGATGGGAGGCAAATTCTAACAACATCTGGACGGCCACAGGTTTCCCATCCCCAAAGTAATAGGAAAGCCAGGATAAATTAATTCATCCTACAGTAAGAGATTTCCATCATGTATACTTCATCTTACCTTATTACATGTCTAATCTGGAACTCCTAAACACCAATTCCAGCAAATACTACAAGATGTAAGTTCTGAAGTGCACCCAGATGCAAATGGAAAAGAATGTGGGGAAAGTTGTGAAAAAGGAGAGGTGGAGAAGTTGCTATCAAATCCACTGCTGGTAAATTTAGGGGCATAGAAAATTACAGTTGTCCACCAGTCATACCCGTGGTCCATCAAGCTCAGTGTATTTTACACAGACTGACAACCACTTTCCAGGTTTCAGGAAGAATGCTCACCTAGCACTACTTGGAGATGTCAGGGATTGAACCTAGGATCTTCTGCATGCAAAGCAGATACTATTCAACTATGTTATATCTTTCCCTTTTCCCTGGAAACAGGGGGGGGGGTCCTACTTTTTGGAATCAATCAGTATTAGAATCTACGGAATCAAAAACATGGCCTGCAGGGTCTGATCCACTAGCCAGATCCAGTTCCCCACCCCTGCCATAACTATACCTGGGGAAACCTCCAGTATCAAGGACTCCCTCCATATCCTCAATGTTACCTTTTGGATAGGAACCTATTCACAGTTCAACTTGCTCTCCCTGGACAAATGCACACTCTATCTTAGAATCATAGAATCATAGAGTTGGAAGAGACCATAAGGGCCATCGAGTCCAACCCCCTGCCAAGCAGGAAACACCATCAGAGCACTCCTGACATATGGTTGTCAAGCCTCTGCTTAAAGACCTCCAAAGAAGGAGACTCCACCACACTCCTTGGCAGCAAATTCCACTGTCGAACAGCTCTTACTGTCAGGAAGTTCTTCCTAATGTTTAGGTGGAATCTTCTTTCTTGTAGTTTGGATCCATTGCTCCGTGTCCGCTTCTCTGGAGCAGCAGAAAACAACCTTTCTCCCTCCTCTATGTGACATCCTTTTATATATGAACATGGCTATCATATCACCCCTTAACCTCCTCTTCTCCAGGCTAAACATGCCCAGCTCCCTTAGCCGTTCCTCATAAGGGTGCAGCTTGATCTACATGTAACCTAATAGGGAGAAAGCCCCACAGAATATAGTGCATCTTCAAATAAGACACAGCTAATCTTCAAATAAGACAATGAAAAATGATTCAAAAACTGGCACTTTATTCCTGGAGTAAGGAACCTTTGAACTGTTGGGAGAATACAACTCTCATTATCCCTGACTATTGGCCAGGCTGTGACTGATGGGAGTTCAGAGTCGAACAATATCTGAATGAAGGTTCCCCATCATTTATTTATTCCATTAAAAAACTAAAAACCTGTACAGTGGTACCTTGGGTTAAGTACTTAATTCGTTCTGGAGGTCCGTTCTTAACCTGAAACTGTTCTTAACCTGAAGCACCACTTTAGCTAATGGGGCCTCCTGCTGCTGCCGCGCTGCCAGAGCACAATTTCTGTTCTCATCCTGAAGCAAAGTTCTTAACCTGAAGCACTATTTCTGGGTTAGCGGAGTCTGTAACCTGAAGCGTATGTAACCTGAAGTGTATGTAACTTGAGGTACCACTGTACAAACAAACAAAATAGATTAGCTTAGCTCTCTATTAGACAGTACCTGTTAAACTCACAAAAGGGAGGTGAAAGAGTAAAGTAAAAAACAGAACCAGGGGGTCTTAGATTATTCTGAATTAATAATAATCATGGATCCTGGGTATCTGGCTGAAAATAGGCATATAGGGTTTTTTCTTCCATGTTGGCCCCATTTCAGAAGAAGAAAACATAATTAGGGAAGAAAAAATAGAAGGTAGACATTTTCTCTCTCTTTTAAGGTGTTTGAAAAATGAAATTTTATTGCACATGAGGAGAATGAAAAATTAAGTAAGATTAAAAATGCTAAAAGAAAATGTGTTAAAAGAACCAATTACATCCAATTTCACACAGGTAAAAAGGCACCCACTTGTCTGTAATCACATTTTAGAGGGGAGCGTTTTTTGTAGCTTGTTTTACTCATTTAAATCCTAAAATAAACAAGTTATAGCTAATATATTTATTTATTTTACAGTCCATTTTATTATTAGGAAATTTTATTTATTATTTTTATTTCATTTATTAAGAAAATGGCTCAGCATCTCAAGTCTGATTCATATATTACCAGTAATGCCACATTACACAGCAACATCATTGCCAATGTCTGAAGAGAGCTGATTGTGTGGTTACAGTGTGGTTCCCAGGCCAATGTCAGTTGCCTCCAGATGCTGGTATATTTCTGTTGTGTCCCACCATCTTCCTGGTAGTACCAGTCCTGAATTAAACAAAACCTCGGAAGAAGAGAGGGACTATATAGGTAGCCTTGGTACATATGGGACACAAGAAGCATAAACTGCTCAAGGAAGCCATGAGTTCAAAAGAAAAAAACAGAACCCACCCAGTGCAGAAGCAGCACCTTATCTTACCAGGCTCCCTGCAAGATAGCTATCTGAGACTTCTCTGTAAACAGTGCCGGATTTATGTATAAGCTAAACAAGCTATAGCTTAGGGCCCCACTCCCTTGCGGGCTCCCAAAAAATTTAAAGGAAAAAACCTGGATGTACATTTCCAAAATATAAGATAAAGAATAAATAAAATAAAGCGTACATACAGCAACAGTGTTTTGTGTTGTGTAGGCTCCTATGATGTAAGTAATGTGCCTGGCCTACTAGCCTGCTCCCTAAAATATCACATATTTTGTTACGTGCAAATGGCTTTAGAAACCTATTAGGTCCATAAATTACCATATAGCATATACTCAACACACAAAAAACTGCAACAATTTGTTGTTGACAAAGGACAGCTGGACATATAAAGGGCCCCATTACGTTCAGTAGCTTAGGGCCTCACCTCATCAGACCTAAATCTGGTCCTGTCTGTAAACCCACCAAACAGTTCCATGGCCTCTCTAGAAAGGCATAATAATGAACCATGTGGCAGGAATGGGGCAGATTCAGCACTAATACAGAGAAATGTATATAGAAACCAAGTTTCTGGCTTAAAACTGTGGGAGGGGACCTGTATTAAGAGTAACAACCTAACAGGCAGGGAAGAATTGCAAAGGAGAATAATTAACCCTCTATTTTCCTCCCTTTAGTTCTGTCAGCAGTGGTGGCAGAGGGGGCAAATAGGTTCCGTGATTTTTGCCCCAAGAATAATCAAGTGAAAGACATTCTCACACTGAGATATGCTCTGCAATATTGATATTTTAGTGGCCTGCAAAAAAAAAAAAAATCCATGTCAATTCGCTTGTTGTAGAAATCACCTTTGCCTCCAGTATCTTGTAGCTGCCAAAAAATTTCAAGGTGAAACTAACAAAAAACAAAAAAACACCAGTCCACAATTCCCTAGATATCTTATGTGATGTGGCAACAGCAGATGATATTATCAGATCCAGGAACAACTCAGTTAAGCCCATTCTCAGCTGAAACCCCAACTTTATAGCATATAGTAATAAAATATGTTCCTGTTACCACTGAGAATCTTTTTTTTTTTTATTCTTTCAAGCATTTTGAGTAAAATATGTACAATTCCGCTCTTTAGAAGGGAGATATATGTAAGTAACCAATGAGGGAGAGCACAGTGTTCTCCTTGTGCTGCTCCTCCACAAATCATTTCCCTAACTTGATAACTCTCTTGCAATCAATATTAAAGCATGCTTCCTGATTGAAGATCAAGATTACAATTCAATCTTACATTTCCATTACACAACCAAGTTCTCTATGATTTATGAGTGGAATGGATAAACCTGATTGGAGTATATATTATTATTTTATACACTGCTGACAACAAGATATTGAAGTTTATATGGCTAATGCTGAGGACTGAATTAAATCATAATATTGTGTATAAGGCTATATTAATTCAGGTCACAGTCCTAAACATATTTACTAGGGAGTGCCGATCAGAAGGTTGGTGGTTCAAATCCCCATGAGCTCCCGTTGCTCAGTCCCTGCTCCTGCCAACCTAGCAGTTTGAAAGCACGTCAAAGTGCAAGTAGATAAATAGGTACCACTCCGGCGGGAAGGTAAACGGCATTTCCGTGCGCTGCTATGGTTTGCCAGAAGCGGCTTAGTCATGCTGGCCACATGACCCGGAAGCTGTACGCCAGCTCCCTCGGCCAATAAAGCGAGATGAGTGCCGCAACCCCAGAGTTGGCCAAGACTGGACCTAACGGTCAGGGGTCCCTTTACCTTTAAGGCCCACAGTGAGATTTACTTCTGAGTAAATGTACACAGAATTGTACTCTTCATTCTCAGCATTAGCTTTAGAATGCTTTCTTCTCCATTCCCCACAAAAGTTAAGTATTGTTCTCCACCACACAACTACTGGTTTTATGCAATGTGGTCTGCAAACAAGTTGGCAAGATGCAGTCTGATTTCAGCACCACAGCATTCTGGATAGCTCCCTACACTCAAATCCTTAAGGGAAAACATACTCTGTTATTCTTCTTGCATCTACTTTCCTTATTTATGCTTAAAAACAAACAACTTGCTTTTATCCTAACTACAAGCAGGCCACACATCCTTCCTGAGTTGAGAAGGGCATAACCTGCTTATCTTTTTCAGTCCTAGTGCTGTCTCATAGACTCTTACTGCATGTGATCTTTCTTGCTTTGTTAAGAATTTCATCCTCCTAACTACTTGGACCATGGAACCATAACCTGACCCTAAGTTTATCTCTGATCTCAGTGCTGTGCTGCTTAGCACTAAGATCAAAGAGAACTGTCTCTTATTTTAGCACTGAGATTTGAGATAACAGATCTCTGCCTCCTGATGTCCTAGAATGTCAGGTGATTGACAGGTGGGCATGGTTTGCCTAAAATGGCCTCACCGGGGCCAATGATATGGCAACACTGCTTTACAGCAGCTATATGAAGATGCGCGGCTGAGGAATCCCCCCTGAAAATGTACAAGCTGTGGAATAAGTCCTAGTCTTAGGAAGCCACATGATATTCCTCGCCATGTTGAGGGGGTTAACTGCTATGAATCTATTTCGGTCAAAAAAAAAAAATCTGCATGTCAATCTGTCACTTTTCCAAATGGGGTGATCAAAGACTGGCATTTCCTTGTGAGCTTGTGATGAATCCCATTGCTAACCAAGACTATCATATGCATACCTAACAATTATCTTCAGGTGCCAACTGCCAAAAATAGTTGAAAGGAAATGGAGACAGAGAGTCAAAGTAAGTCAGCAAACAAGAAAATCTGCTACATTCAGATTCCTTCAAACAATACCAAGTCTGCTTTGTAGCCTGTGATTACAGGTAATGAGGCTATATTAGGCAGCCATGTATGAAATTCAGTATAGAAGTAGAAGGACAGGTAATGGAAGCAGAATCATAAGGTCAGGTAACATGACTTTCCCTTTGA